TTGACTTGCTAGTCCTATCCGCAGGCACTAGATATACTACTTCGCATTACTCAAAGAATCTTAAGGTTTGCACGTTTGCAACGGGCTAGCGCCCCGCCCCTGATCACCACAACACCTAACTTCCATTTCTAAGAGAATCCTTAATAGTGCTGTTGTTTCGCTACCAGCATCCACCATTTCGAATGGTGAGAGTGAGGTGATAAGGGGAAGAGCTGGCAGCACTCTCGTCCGAGTGAGCCTTATGCACGTACAAGCGCACTTCAGCATGGGGTTCTAGCATTTCGATGGGTTTAGTGCTTTTTGTCTTCTTTTCGTGCTGTTTACCATCTTTGAGCCGCACAGCTCGCCATTTTTTGAATGTGGAGCGCCTTCAGGATACAAATCTCTTCCACAAGAATACTTGATGTTGGTGTGAATTTTTCGCCTAACCGTTACTGTACCAGTTTTGAAGTCAAAGCTGGAAATTCGTCGTCGTCGGGGTAGACCTGACTAGAAATTGTGTCCTATGGTGGCTCGGCTTCTGAACGTGAAAATCGCAGTTTTTCACCTAAGAACGCTCGACGGCCGCCGTACGAGCGTCGAAGCCAGAGCACCTCAAATCGCCGAGTTCATTGAAATCTGGTCTACAGGAGTGGTTTGAGCTTTTGAATACGGATATTTCATTGCTTCGGCTCCAGCATAGGCGCCAAGCCGAACCCGTAGCGCTAGGCCTGTAGAGCGGACATCAGGAGTTTGGGTAAAATTGCGATGGAGGTTGTGGGAGTCTAGCTTTTCCCTGAAGCAACTTTCTATCTAAATCTGCTGCCAGTAAGAACGACCACCGTACAAGCGCCGAAGCCAAAGCACCTCAAATCACCGAGTTTATTGAAATCTGGTCCACAGGAGTCTGCCAGTAAGAAATTTTTCGAGGAACTTCGAGAACGAAATTCGAAAAGTGAGGCGGTATAGAGGAAGTATCTATTTTGGCGCTGATCCGCGTGGAAGGGCATTTCTGTAAGGTACTGTGAAGCTTCTTAATGATACCGATTTCATTTTAAACGTCGACGTTTCACGGAGCGGTTAACTGCAAATGGGATATTTGCTGTTACTCCAAGGTAATCCATGAGCTTCGTAGGTAATCCACCAATCAAACCTGTTGGGAATGGAGGAGTCGTAATTCGGCTCGTGAAAATTTTCTTGTTAGTTGATTTTTCCCCATTTTCGCGTGCCCACCATTCGGCGACTCCCGATAGCGGATCGCATTTTGGTTGTTGAGAGAGAGAGAGAGAGAGAGAGAGAGAGACAAAAAGTGTTTCTGCGCTGAAAATTGGGAATAGGAAAATTAGAATAAGGGAACTACCATTTGTGAGATTTTCCCCGCTCATGTATGCTCTATAGCCCCGCTCGACCTTTTGGGGGAGGACTGGAAATTTTTTCAAAAATGGGTGGACTTGTGTGATTTCGATAGGCAATAGGTAGGTTGTGAGACACTGAGACACTGCCCCTTCACTCATCCCAATGCCTTTCATTACCCTTCTCACGCGCTCGCGACGGTAAAATTTCGGAAAATACGTTGCGAAGGGAGGCAGAAAGTTTGAGGGGCGCGGGGGAGTTGCACCTATTCAAAACAGACGCGGTGCTGTGTGCTTTGTTGGCCAAGCCATGAATATAGAGAACTCACCCAGTCAGATTTGTTTTCTATGATGCCAGATCCCTTGGGAGTGAGCAAAATAAACCAAGAAAGGTGGAGGAAGGTGAGATTTCGTACAAAGCACCTCCTCTAGACCGAGGCGAAAGTTCTCATGCTTTGTAAGATGCCCTCCGCCAGCGTACTTGTGCCCTTTTGTCGCTACTCGGTAGAAAATAGCCAAGATTCAATGGAGTTTTGAGCATGTCTCAAGGGTAAGGGTATTCTTGGAACGCACCAAGTCGGGAGGCGCTTTTGGGATTATGATTTTTAGGTTTGGTGTGGACTGGAACAGGGCTTACTGTAGTAAGCACTGTGATTCTAGGGTAGAAGTAGTGATGAGTTCATTATATTGAAGGATAGTCACTCTCCCTGAAAGCGTGAGGTGCGGGTTCGAGTTCTGCCTGAAGTTAGGACTTCTGCCCATAACTAGCATGTTTGTAGTAGTGATGAAAGTTGCTGCTTGGGTACTCTTAAATGAGCAGAAAATTGCTGATTTTAATAGCGAAAGTTGTAGAACCTCTGTAGTGGGACTGGTTTCTATGAGCTAGAAGAGTTTCTTGACCCCCCTCTCACTGGTTTTCTTTTTTCTACTTTATCTGTAATATGTTAAAGGACGCAGTTCAGCTTGGTAAGGGTAATTTCGGTATTCCTCACTGATCACTACCGATGCCTACCGTAGAGACCCGAAATATGCGATAGCAGAAGCTCTATTTACACTTGACAAGGTTCTACGCGTCACACCAAGTGTGACACGTAATTTGGCGGGGAGTAGCATAAGGAACTAATGAAAGTGCGAAATGCTCCTCCCAAGCTGAACAGCGCTTATTAAAAGCTCTGAGAATGGGAAATGAAAGAAGTGGACCGCTTTGTTGACCGGAAATTCCCGCACACGCTGCATTTGGCACCTTGTTGTCGTTTTAGCGTGCGCAGCTATTCACGAAGCCCCACTATGCATTTGAAATATGTGTTTGTCTTGAACATGAGCCGTTGTTTATCAGTGCCATTGCAGGGTTCAGTTTGGCTTGGTCTTTTTCGCCATCTCCATTCTCCTAGCGATATGTCTCAGTTTAGGAAATCGACATGAAGGGGAGGTTAGTGAAGTTCAAGCTGCTTAAGGATTCTTGTCATAGCTTTATTTATTCCATTCTCTTTTGGAATTAGACTTTTT